TGGACCACCTGACAATTAAATCAGATCTGAGACTTCGTCAATTCGCGAAGAAATCAAGAAGCCGAAGCGCTTATCTCGGTAACAGCGAGATAATTGCTCTTCTTAAGATTACCGCAACGGGGTAATCTTAAGGGACGAATATGGGGAACTGCAGATCTAACGAACTCTTCCTTCCTACGTTGAAGAACTCGATCAATCTCCTCCTCTCTTCTAAAATTCGTGCACCTTCAGTCTTCAGTCCGGCAGGGCTTCGCCAACGCTCGAGAATTCCAGATCTGAAAAAATAAAGGCCCTAGGGTTGTATTTATAGGCTTCAGGGGCCCTGTGTTCGGATAAGAACGGTTGATTCTCTCTTATCTTCAGTTGAATCCACTTAACCACACTATCAGATCAGTTGGAACAAATCCAGAAGGTTAACGATCGAAAAACCGCCGAAAACACCAAAATCAGCATTTTTTTGTATTGCAGACACTTCTGAATTCATTGTAAACGATTAAAGTTATAATGAAATTAGTAATGAAGGTAACTTTCGAAGGAAACATACATCAGAACCTATTTTACTACTTCCAATGTGTCTTTCCCGGATTTTCCATGAACCTACTGACAACACTGATCCCTGTGAAATATCTGAATGTGTACACACCATTGCATACATTCTACCAACTACACTAGCATAAGGTACACGCTCCATGTGTGCCTTATATTTCGATGTAGTGGGAAATTGTTTATGTAAGAGCCTGAAGTGTAGGGCCAATGGAGTCACCACCGACTTAGCACTTTGCATCCCAAACCTTACGATAATCCGCTCAATGTAGCCCTTCTGACTCAAGAACAATCGTCGATTTACCTGCTCTCTTCTAATCTCCATACCCAGTATTTTCTTAGCAGCGCCCATATCTTTTATCTCAAATTCTTTATCAAGTTGAGATTTCAGCCTATCTATCTCCACATTGCTTCTCGAAGCAATAAGCATGTCATCCGCATACAAAAGAAGATATATATAATCCCCTCCACAAAGCTTCCAAATATAGACACAACAGTTATAATCGCTTCTGGAGAACCCATGCTTTAGCATGAAGGAGTCAAATCGCTTGTTCCATTACCGAGGAGATTGCTTTGATCCATATAGTGATTTCCTCAAGCGACATACCTGATTCTCCTTATCCTCAGTCTTGTAACCCTCAGGCTTATGCATATAGATTTCCTCGTCCAAGTCTCCGTGCAAGAAGGCCATTTTCACATTGAGTTGTTCCAGCTCAAGATCATCATGAGTAACAATACTCAATAGCACCCGCATAGAAGTGTGTTTCACCACCCGAGAAAAGATCTTATTTTAATCCATACCCTCTCTTTGTGCAAACTCTTTAGCCACTAGTCTAGCCTTATATCTTGTACTGCCAAGCTCGAAAGGATCCTCCTTTCTCTTGTACACCCACTTACAATCTATAGTTTTCCTCCCTACGGGCAATGGGACCACCTCCTATGTTTGATTCTTCCGGAGAGATTCCATCTTTTCCTCCATCATAGCCAACCAACTCTCACTATCCTTGTCCTGAATAGCTTCTTTGAAGGTGACCAGCTCATCATCCTCCATCGAGAGTGCATACTCAACCAAATTTACCTGCCCATAGTGTCTTAGAGGCTATTTTGACCCTAACTTCTGAACCTGATTGTATACTCGCCTTGGCCTAGTGGAAGCTAAACTATCTTCGAGCTGTTGTTGTTGTAGTGTTTATA